GACCCCAGGAAAGAACCTTGCCACAGGGCTCCCGCCCCAGCTCCTTCTTAGGAGGCTGGCAACCAGAAATAGCTCTCCTCGCTCGGCTGCGCAGCTCTGGTGCGGACCAGTAAGGTACAATCTTTGCCGTCTCAGTACCGAGCTGGTCGGATTTATCTTCCCCACCTTGCTACAGCAGGGGATGCGAGACGAGAGCTGCAGGTGTTTGGAAGGAATCTGTGCACGGCCAGCTCGCCCAGCTGTCCCCCGCCAGAGCTCCCAGACCCTGAGCCACCCTGGCCAGGTGCCCCGTCTCCCTCGGACTTTAGGCACTGAGAAAAGGAGAGGCCCTGGGATTACTCACACTCACTAGTAAGGTCATTCCTTTCACCTTGCTGAGCTCAAATCTGCAGTTACGTGGGCCAGTTAGCGGCGCCTTGCCTAGCCCCCGGGCCGCAGAACCCCTCACCTCCCACCACGCTCTCCCTAACTCTGCCCTTTGCAAGTGCGCTCCGGCCAGTGGCTCCACATACACCCAACCTTCATGAGTCTGAGCGTCACCCATTCAAGAAGACCTTCAAGCTCCTTAAAAGGACAACGAATCTCTGAGACTTCCCACTTTTTGCCCAAGAAAGTCACTCGGTGAGCCCTAGTCATTACTAGATACTGAGTCACGTGTTACACCAAGGGGATCAGTTGGAGTCAAAGAAGCGAGAAATCGTGTCCCCGATTAGTTCTGCTGCAGGTTCGAGTGCACCTAGCAGAGGTATCTGCGTGTCTCCCTTACCAGAGGCTGAAGGGCTGATTGGGCCTAGCAATGTAAGAAGGGTAGCGAGCGGAGAAATCCTAACGCCAGCAGGGACTGCACTACATATGGTGAAATGCACAGAGCCGAAAGCTGTGGTTCGATGGTGTAAACAAATGGCCACACTTGTGTACTCTATACCCATCACCCCAGGAAGTTTCCTCAGGCACCGTCCTTGGGGCAGCCATGCTTGGTCTCTGTCCTCCCAGAGCCTAGATTGTGGTTGGATGCGCTCAAGACCTAAAGCTGGCTGTGGGTCGTCTAGGCAAGTCCTCGTGAGAATCTTTGGCAGCTCAGGAGTCCTTTTCCCTTAGAGTTGCAAAGAGTGCCCCGACCCCCTAGCGCTTGAGTGTGCTGCCCTGTCTGCCACCTGGCCCCAGCGCTATGACTCCCTGGGCCACAGCCTTCTCCCCGGCCAGAGTTTAGCATCAGTCTCCCAGGTAAGTGAGTGGCAGGAGCGCGGGGTAATCCGGCCGGCCGAGCATGCGCTGTTGATGAGAATCCGGAAGTGCAGTGCGCACGCGGCATGACGAGCAGCATGTTGGTTTTCCTCAAGGCCGCACACAAAAGGCAGCCAGCCCTTCTGTGCGTTTCCTTTCAGAAACAAAGGACTCCATGCCCACCTTCTCCCTGGCTTCTAGCCACCAAGATGGCCACAGAACTGAAATGATCAGTCCGGGTGGAGGGTGGAGACTGAAGGTGTGGGGACTGGGGCCCAGCCCTGAGCCCTGGGGGCCACAATCCAAAGGCTCCCAAGTGCTGCTGGCCTACACAGGCCCCATGTCCTGCAGGTGAAAAGCACTTTGTCTATATGCAAAGCCTCAGTCTCTGGATGCGCCCTCTCAGCTCAGCTATTAATTGCTGTATATTTTGCTGTTTGGACAAAGAGGGCCTGCTGATAGCATCTTCAACTGCCCTCAGCTGCTTCTCCCAGCTGCCGAGGCCCCGGCTGAGCTGGCTGCAGTCCTCTGGCACGGTGATCCCTTCCCAGCTGACCAGCCCCAGTGAACATCACACATTCGCATCCTGAGAAAACCACTGTAGCCACACAAGGAGCCAGGCACAGGCAAAATTACCACTTTCTGCCTAAGCACTTCTGGCAGAAACTTGGGAACTGGGGTGCAGGAATGGAGGAAAAAGAAAGCCAAGAGCCCTGGAGTAAGCGGGCAGAAAGTCCCTGTGTCTGGGCAAAGCAGGCGCCTGAGAGCCGCATGCTGGCTGGTGGGAGTGCTTCAGGGCAGCTCCTCTCTGACACAGGTAGCCTCTGCACTCCGATTTTGCTTGATCCCTGAACACTGTGGGAGCCTGGGCACTGCAGGAGAGAGGCCACTACTGAGCAAGTGGGGCTGCAGGGTCTCCCCATGGCCCGAGGCCAGGCAAATAGCCTGCCTGCATCCCGCATGATTAACCACCCACCTTCCAGCCAGAGCTCACACTCGTCCAGGAGGGCACAGAGTAGTGTGTAGGTGGCAGGTGCCCGAGCTGCTTCCTAGGCCATCCATAGCCCTCATGACCCCCATCTGCGGCAGCTGAACTAGTACTTGGTAATTATGGGAGCGCAGCTGTGGAGAAGGTAGACAAAACTGCCCAGCAACACAGCCAGATTGCTGGGAGGTTAGAGGAGCATCTCGGGAGTGGCTGCTGCGCCTGTCAGCTGTACTGTCCACCCCTGAATTCCTGGCCACTGGACGCTGTGGCTGGAGGGGGAGGGATGGCCAATGGCAGGCTGGCCACAGGTCCTAGGAGTCAGAGCTACGAGGCTGAGCTCCAGGACTCCAGCAGGAAGAGATTAATTAGCTGCTCCAAGCCCAGCCAGGCCCTTTCAGGAGAGCAGGAGGGGTGAAGGGTGGGGGTGCCTCAGGGCCAGCTTTACCTGGAACAAGCAGACAGCCCCTAGCCAGCTGAAATGACCTCACTAATGAGAATGCAGCCATAATGAGGGCTTGGGGCAAACCTTCCTCCTTTGTCTCTGGGCTTTTAACATACACATTGCCATCAGACTCTTATCTGGAACATTTAGTGATTTTTCTCTTCCTATCTGCCAACTAAGTCAGAGCCTGAATACCATATATAGCAACACCGAACATATCTATTTGGGTTCAAGATGTGTAATTGTGGCCCTGGTGCAGGAGGGCTGGCAGAGAAAGAGGAGCCAAGACACTGGGTGTGTTGTTCCTGAGGCAGTAAGCAGCCCTCAGGAGGAAAGCAAAGTCCTTTTCTGCCTTTCACATGAGCAGGGGTCCCGCATTCCAGGAGGCCTCCTGGAACCGCATTTTCCCAGGAAGGACCCCGTGCACGTCCGGGACTAGGCAGTCCTGGGCGAGAATTCACACTCCAAAGTGAATCAAGTAGATGACCAATACAGCTTGCTCTGTGTAAGGAAGGCCACGGGAGAACAGCAGCTCTGCGATGGGCCAGAGAATCCAGGGCTGGAAGTCAGACCATCAAGGCCAGCCTCTACCTGCTAAGAGCCACTAGGGTACCTAACCTGCTGTAGAAAAAGGCATAGCTATCCTCTTCAGTGATTCTTAAAGACTGATACAGTAACCCTTGAGGTGTTGGTTTTTGTTTTGGTTTTTGTTTTCTCTTTTAATGCTAATTAAAAACTCCTTCGGCTGATGCAATGGTACCCTGCTACAAGCTCAGCTTAGTGTATCTGAAGATTCAGATAAGGTTGATGGAAAGATTGTGTGTGGGGGGGGAGAGCAAACAGGGAGAAAATGAAAATGGTTTGTCTCAGTGTAAATGGAGGGAAAAGAAAAAGAGGAAAAATGAGAGGTGAAGGCAGTGTGCTGACAGCTTCCAAGCACCCCTGGTTCCTGGAAAACCCCCTCACAGCGTCAGAGTGCTCCACCAGGTTGGCCACGTCCCCATGCAGACCTCAGCCAGATAAGAGTGGCTCAGCAGCCAGCCCGTGCCATGCCTGTGCTCCTCATCTATTACATATACCCATTCTCCATCAATTCATTAATCCGCAGGTTTATTGAATGCCCCACCAGGCTTCACAAACCTAGTCAATTGTTTTTAATTGCATCCGGCTTACACCTAGTCAAGCCCAGCAAAGCAGACGAGGCCCCCACCCCATCCGCTTACAAATAAATGCTGGCCCTTGCAGCCTCCCTACCCAGCCTCGCAGCCGTTGCTGAGGGCAATCATCTGCTCCCCTTGCAGACAGGCCGATGTCACAGACCTGCTGTCAATCAGAGGGTGGATTTTGAATGTCTTCCCGGGTGCAGCCATGTCTGCTCGGGTCCAGCTGCAGCACCTCTGGACCTGGGTCCAGCAGTATGGATTTCTAAAGAAGGGGCGGGGGCAAGGGGAGCAGGGTAGCACCCAGACTGTCAGGGAAGTCGCAGAGCGCCTGCGCCTCTCTCTCTCTCTCTCTCTCTCTCTCTCTCTCTCTCTCTCTCTCTCTTTTCTTTTTTGCGGAACTGGGGATTGAACTCAGACCCTTGTGCTTGCCAGGCAAGTGCTTATTCTACTGAGCCATCTCCCCAGCCACTCTTGCCCCTCCCCTACCTCTCAGGGCCTTTGACAGCAGAGTCCCATGGGCTTCTAGGCCTCATGCACTGACCTCGTGGTCTGGCTCATTCCCTTAGTTCCGATGAGGAGCTGCTCCAAAGGATACAGGAAAAGTGCTTGTGGATCCTTCGTGTGTCTTTGGGTCCGACCGGCAGAGACCCAAGCCAGGAACAGGGGAGGACAAGACCACCCTGCCCTGGGCCACTGGGGGCGCTGAGGCCCATCGAAGGCCCTGTCACTTACGTGGTCCCAGAGCTCATCCCCGGGGTCCCACATCCTGTGTGTCTCCCCCTGGTTGTGAGCAGGACTCACGGCTGCATCTCTCTGGCTCAGACCCCCTTCTCGAGCTTGCTGCTGTGCAGTCCGCCAATGCCTTCCCCAGCTTGAGTAGAGTCAAGGTCAGAAGTGGCCCACCACCCCAAGAGGCTCTGTCCCTGAGAGCCTGAACGCCTGGTTTCAGGAAGGAACCCCCACCCCACCTAAAATACAAAAGTACCAGCGACAGCACCGCTCTCCAGTCCCTAAACTGCGGCCCTGGTCCTGGCCCAGCTAGGAGACCCCACACCGAAGTGGTCTGTCAGACCCCTCAGCCCCTTGGTCTCCAGCTCGTGCAGGCATTAATTCACTGTCTGGCTCTCTCTGTCCCTGTGTGTGCGCACTCGCGCGTGCCTCTCTGTCGCCTGTCTCTCTGCAGGGAAAGTCGCTGGCGGGCAAGCGCCTCACCGGCCTGACGCAGTCCTCCTGACGGTCCCCAGCGCCGGCCAGGGGCCTGGGCCCGCAGAGCTGGCGGGCAGGCGGCCGCGCTCCCCATCGGTGGACAAGGCGTCCTTGCAAGGAGATGTGGTCACTGTGAAGGAGAAGGAGTGAGGGCCGCAGAGAGCCATGGTGGGAGATGCGGCAGGCGAGCGAGGACCAGAAGGCCAGAGGCCGGAGCGCAGCCGGCCGGGAGGGCCCCGTGGACAGCCTCTCCCTTGCTTGGTCGAGCGCCCATGCTCCCAGCCAGGACGACGGGCCAAGGAGCTCCTGGCCAACCAGCGCTGCAGACGCCGATGCCTGTAAGGGCCACGCCCCTCCAGCCATGGGGGTATCGCGCCTTGCGGCAGACACAGAAGGGACAGTAGACCTTGGGGACGGCCAGGATCATGCGCCACCTCTCTGCGCTCTCTCGGAGGCACCCCCTTGGGCACCATAGCTGCAGCCACCCCGTGCCACCCATCACCTGCCGCTCCCTCTCCCTGTGGTGCCCAGGCATCAGAGGCCGGCACCAGGCACCACCCTCACATGAGTGTCCTGTCCTGTCTTCAGCACTGAGGCCGCCTCACCATGGGTCCTTGGAGGTCTCTGTGGCCAGGATGCTGCCCTCGGTCCTGCCCAGTGTTGCAAGGGCCCTACACCTTGCGGACCCACTGGTCTGGATGGACGAAAGCATTGGTCAACACCATGGAGGTTCTGATGACTGTCCTTTAAAATCTGATTTCACCATGCTTTGGCCCCTCACTCCTTGGTTTTCCTCAAAATAAATCCAGCGTGAAATTGGGGATTATTAGGAGTCTCCCCTGCACAGCCCAGGTGGGAGATGGGAGGCCTATGGCACAGCACAGCCAGGCTCTGGAGCTCAGGCCTCCACCCTGCCTGAGGCTGAGGCAATGTCCAGTTTAGCAGGTCCCTGCCAGAGCTGCCTCACTCCTTTCCCAGGCTGGATTTGAGGGCCCAGCTAAAGAATCCCACTAAACAGAGCCGGTTGCCTAAGAGAAAGCAAAACCTGCCAAATTAACAAAAGACACCCCTGAGTGTCATAGCGACTCTTTGCCAGCTGGACTGGGAGGTCCCGGGTGTAAAGCACCACATCCGACGCCAGATGCATAGTAGGTGCTTAGCAAAAAAATGGTAGTTAATACTGTCATTGTGATACCTGTGAGACCCCAGACACAGCTGTATTAAGCAACTGGTCTTTTAATTCAGACGGACTCTCACCCACACATACCCGCTATGGAGATCCTTTGATCTAATTTTGGCCACAGGCAAAAAAGTCTCCCTTGGGGTGCATAAACAGACACATCGAAAGAAACAGGTGATCCCTGGCGTTTCTTTACCCACGCAGGCAAGTTCACCAGCTGGTAACCACAAGCTCAGATGCACCTTTGCAGTCCCGGCCTCCTGGTTGCTTCCCTGTGACCCATCTTTCCCATCCTACCTTGGAGTCCTTTCTGTGTCCGCTTCCACACAGCCCTGCCCCCAGCCTCCTGCCCCTCACCACGGAGCCACCCTGAGCAATACGAGTCCTTGTTACGGCAGCATCCCTGCAGTTCATGACCGTTCCACCTCAGCTGTCCACCCCAGCAGTCACTCCTCTCCTTTTCAGATGGAGTGGAAGTCACAAAGGTGACAGGCAGGGCTCTCCACTGTCCCCCAAGGTGGTGACACAGAGCCAGGGCCTTGGTGCAGTCACATACACTCTGCACGAAGCCAGCAGTTTGTGGATGCTTGGTGACCGCCGGATGAGCAAATGGACGTGCTGAGGCCCCCAAGTGCTGGGTCTTCCAATTGCTCTCCTGCTCAGGCCACCTTCCAATCCCCTTCTTGGTCATATAAACCTCCTGCTTCAGAACCAATCAGAGTCCTAGTTCTTCTGCACCCACCTTGGCCCAAGGGAAGCTCATCCTGACCTGGCTGAGCCAGGGTAGATGAGGGTGTTCCCAGCCAACCGCTCCTCTGTGTCTTCAGTTATCCAGGACAAGAGCCTGGCTGTCTCCTGCCCCTCCCATGGGCTGTAGGTAGGGAAGGGCTGGCTTCCTGACCTGGACTTCTGTGCCTCCAGCTCCCCCAAATTCTTGGCTGTTGTTCCTGATCTGTGCCAGCCTGGGAAGTGGCCTCATTCTGGAGGTTCCCAGAGGGCCTGCCCAGAGCCAGGTGGGCCATGACACTGAGAATGGCTTCCAAAAACCTCTTGCAGATAGGAGGGTCAGCAGGCTCCCTAGAGGTGAGGACACTTCCAGTGGACTCAAGCCCATGGCAGTGAGCGTCCCAGCTCACCCCCCACAGAGGCGACAACCACAACATGCTCCTCGGTAGTTCAAGCAAGGGCTTGCACGAAGGAAGTGGGACAAGTTTGCTGTAGCCAAGTGGATCGCTCCAAGACCAGGCTACCACAGAGACCTCGACCTCGTAATGGAAAGATTTAGAAAACTGGGTCTTGGCCACCCGGCCACCCAGATATCCAAGCTAGGTAAGATGTTCGAGGACAATTCTTTAGCAAAACAGATCTCCCTGCCCCGTTCTGCCCAAGAAGCTACCGGAGGTCCCCTGCCCAGGCATTGTTTATGGGTCTGAAACTTTTCTCCCTGAGGGTTCGCAAGGAAAATGTCACGTTGGCAGTCCCAAGCCAAACCCCAAGGCAGTCTCTGCGAGTGGCCACCAGCCATCAGCGCTGATGCACAGGGCACCAGGCGCAGAGCATGTGGCTGAAACAACCTTGCCCCCCACGGGGGTTGGGAGGGGGTACCACTGGCAGGTGGCATGCACAAATGTCCAGTGGCAGCCAGGCAATCTGGCTCATGCAGCTAGAACTCCCCAGGCTGGGGAGAAGCCTCCTGCCCCTCCAGACAGCAATGCAGCAGCTTTGTTCTCCTGAGAAGCCACTGCTGTACCCTAGAAACAAAGAGAGATGCAGCTGCCAGTACAGTCGACAGGGCCCGTGTCCAGCTCCCCACTGGGGGCGGCCAGGTGCCGGGCCAGCGTCCTGGAAGGGCCTGTTGCAGCTCAGAGTTGCTGTTCAGACTCAGCTCCTGGGGCCTTGCACTTAGGGTGTCTCTCCCATAGGATTCCTAGATGTTCAAGCTACCTCACCAGCAGAAGGACACTGAGCCAGGAACCTGTCTCCTTCCTGCTTGTGGAATTTGAGGGCTTTTTTTTTTTTCCTTAAGAAATATCCCTCACAGGCTACCCCAAACACCTGGGAAATCAGAAAGGATTGAGAGTTGTTGGTATTTAGGCCCTGTGGAATATAGTGGAGGGAGGTGCTGCAGCAAGTTCCAGGAGCTAGGAAGCCCTGGGATGGAGGAAGACAAATGCCACCCGCCTCAAAGGATTTGGCCAAGATGCACATGTAGCAAGGACCGTGGGCTCGGCAAACGGTGGCCAAATAAATCACTGACAGCTCACCACAGGACCCTCCAAAGAGAGGCCTGTGATTGCGTAACCATGGCAACAGCAGATGCCAGCAACCTACTCATTAGTGCCACCCAGTGATAAGTCATCCCCTGGGCAAGACCCAGGGACCATAAAGTAGCAAAGTAGCAAATGTAGCAATAAGGGCTCCAGGGCCCTAAAAGGGCAGTCCTGGTCCGGCGGCCCTCTCCTCAGCCCTAGTGAGGGCATGGAGCCCGCTGGTGCCACTGTCTGCAGCAGCCAGGAGGCCCTGCGCGCACACACACAGGGCTCCTGTCCTGAATTTTGTGCCCACTCACCGCATGATCACAGCCACGTTGGAATGGCTCCTTATAGTGCATGTGGTTCTCATTAGTTTATTTTTCTGGAATTTGGGGACTGAACCCCAGAACTAAACACGCTGGTAACAGTCTAAAAATAAATGACTTGAACCCACTACTGTCCTGCTAACTCTGTGTGACTTCTTGATTTGGGGATTCACTGGGCAGGATTTACTTCTAGCAAATAAAGCCTCCCACTGCTCCCTGCTCCCCGCATGACCCATTCACACACACACACACACACATGCACGCACGCACACACACACATGCACGCACCACGCACACACACACACACATGCACGCACCACGCACACACACACACACATGCACGCACCACGCACACACACACACACACATACACGCAATCTGTTTTCCCCTCATTTACCAAGATGCTAAGCAGCTCAGAAAAGCTGCACCATGCTGGTAGCCTGGGACAGAAGAACCCTCAAAGGGCTGGAGTCCTTGACTCTGCCAGGGCCTCCTTGGCCGGTGGCGTCCAGGCCCCCACCGCTCAGATGCAGACATCCCAGTGGCTACTCTGACACTCCTCGGAAGAGAGCCCCAGGATCAAGGCCCCTCCCCCACCCCGCACACAGCCAGCGCTCCTTCTGGGGAGCCTGTCTCCTGAGCTACAGACGATCTCATTTCCTGCTAACACCAAAGCAGCAGGACTCCAAGAGCCTGAGAGCCCGGCTGACAAGAGGAGAAGGAGAACAAAGTGGAGAGGTTCCTCTATTAAGAAGGCTGGCACCTCGCAGCACGCTTCAGCGACAGAAATTTTGCTCTCAGAGGTAGAAATGACTTCAGAGGCATGGGGATGGCTCCTCCGTCACATCTGGATGGAAACCAAGGCCTGTCTCTCATCTCCAAGCAGCATCTGCCAGGGAAATGTCCTGACCTCCAAGGTCAAGATCAAGGTCATGCCTGCCCCCAGCCTGGCCCAGAGCGTGTCCGCTGACAGTCCCAGCCCCCTCGCAGCAGGGTCGTGCTTCCCCGTCCTCCTCGGCCACAGCTGCCATCTCCAGGGACCCTTCAGCTCTTCCCTTTCAGCTGGAGCATCTGGTTTATTTCCAGAACCTTTGCTTCCTGAGCTGCTCCTGAGTAGGCACCTGGCCCTACCAAGGACAGAGATCTGCTTTCAGCCCCAGGATGGGGCTGGAGATTTGGGGCAAGCAGCAGCACCCAGGAGCTCCGCCCATTCTGGCTGCTTCCTTGCCGCCAACACCCTGTGGGAGACCTTCGGCCTAGTGGGCATGAGGCCGTCCTGTCCCTGGTGCCAGCTTCCTAGGGACCACCGGAGCTTCCATGGGGTCGCCGGCCCTGGCACGTGGCAGCCCCCAAGCCCAGGCAGCGCTCACACAAGCACAACACTCCTGGGCTCACAGAGCTCTGCCCAGCACGGCTTCCCTGAACCCCTTCCTCGCAGAAGCCCAGAGGTCCTCCGGGCTGTCCTCAGCAGGGCTGCCTGCATGCGCTCCCGGGACCCCTCCCCGGCATCGAGGTCACCACACGTTTCAGACCCAAGTCTCAAGGCCCAGGCCCCCCGTCAGGGAGAGACTGCGGCACCTGTTTACTTTACAGAGGCCGGGGTGTGGGCCCCAGCTCGGCGTGAGCTCGCCGGAGCAGAGCCCTCCAGCGGCTGCGCGCGGCTCTGTTCTCCTCAAGCCCTGGAGCTGCCTGGCCAGGTCTGGCTTATTTCAGCCAACAAAAGAGAGAAACTGCCTCTAATGGCAGAGACTGAGCCATACACCCTGAGTCTGTTTGTTTCTTCATTTCTTAAACAGGAACAAAAATCCCACAATGTTATGATGGCTGTGAATTAACACAGCAGGCTTAGCCTGGCCTGGCACCTAGTGGGTACTCCCGAAACAGGGGCTGGTGTTAGCTAGTGCCGCCTCTGAGACAGGCCTGGGAGGGGCAAACATAGGCAGTCCGCAGAGGCCTGCAGCCCCACCCATGGCCTGGCTGGAGTCGTCGGGCCTCCCTCACCCTGGAGACCACGGCTTCCACAATCTGTGCAGGCCTGTGACAAGCGCCTGGCTCCGTTTTCCCCACTGTGTCGCTTGGGTGACCTCACTCAGGAGCCATACAGGGCTCCTTCCTCAGACCCCAGGGACAGCAGAAACACAGAGATTACTTCCCCATTTAGAGTCCCATTTGTCCCTCAGGCGTAGTCATTGTTTCATGGGGCTCTGGATGCTGAGCTGGTTCAGAACTCTTCAGTTTCAAGACTGGGATGCAGATGTTGGAAGAGGTCGAGAGACAGAGCCTGGCCCTGTGCTGAGAACGTCAGTAGAATTCACCTTTTTATATAATGTTATCCATTCTGACAAACTTATGCCACGATATAACCACTACCGAAATTATGCCAGAGGATATAATTCTATCACCCCAAAACGCCCCTCCTATCCCTGAAGAGCTAACCTCTCCCTTGTCCCTCTGTGCCCAGCAGCTATTGGTCTGTCTTCTGACTTTGTAGTTTGCTGTTTTGAGAAAGTCACATAAAGGGAATCGTACAGGAGGTGACCTTCAAGCTCAGGTGAGGGTGCATCACAGCACATACCTGGGTGGTGCATTCCTGGACATTTTCTCTTTGTCCAGAACGAAACTGAGGGCCCAGGCGGGGAAACGCAGAGAGGAGCTGGAGGATTAAGGCTGACGGCAGAGGGTGTACCTGCTGTGCAGCCCCTCAGGCCCACGCTGCATTTCTTCTGCAAAACCATCTCCTTAACCCCTGATGACTGTGAGCCCTGCAGGAGCAGGCACGGGATCACAGGACCTGGAGGCAGAGGGAAGGAATCCTTTATTCATCTAGCAGAAGGCTTTTACTTAAAACAAAGGGAAACAATGGGGCATATCACAGTGAATGTGGAGGAGGGAGGAGGACCGTGAGGGACACGAAGAAATGTTTCTGGGACAGGATTGTTTTCTACCTAAATGCTGGGTGGTGCTCATGTTATATAAGGTACAGGGCTGCCAGAGGGAGGTGTTATTTACCCAGCAGGCACTGCCTGGGGCAGCCCCCGGTGGGAGCACCCATAGCAGCAACTCTGGAGCCGGTCCACGTCTTCTCTGATGGGCAGTGTCTTCAGGATCAGTGTGGTCTCCCCGATTCTCCCCTGATCATGGGGGAGGCCAGCAGGAAGAGAGAACTCATTTCTTGACTTGTGTCTCCCTCGTCCTCCTACCCTTTCCCAATTCAAAACAATCCTGTGATGTAATGGGAGAGAGCCAGAACAGGGCTCAGACATGTGGGACCCAGAGGGAGATACATCCATGAAAGCCCGGCCAAGGGGTGGGGAGCGGCGAGGGGTTCTCTCAGGGATCTCAAGGTCTAAATAAATGGAGTGTTTAAAGCACCATTGTGAACTCATGCTTTAGGTACCCTGGAGGCATTTTAATTCATCACATTTATTATTGCTATTGATAGCCAATATCCCACCCCCACCCCCACCCCCGCTTGTGCCAGCCAAACTCCTCAAGACATGGTCTCCGAGTATTTCATCTTTTATCACTGTCTGGCATGATGAGATGATCTAGAAGGGTCTTGTGCTTCTCCTGTGCCTCTCTACGTTCCAACTCAGTGGGAGTCTACAGGGCTCTGTGGGGGTGGGTCTATAAACTGAGTCTCCCTGGCCTCAGAAGAGTAGAATTGAAAGGGTTTTTGAGCCTCAGCCAGTGCAGAGCCTTCATGCTGCCAAATGGGAAGCAGTAGTCCCGAAACCCCGAGGTCCTGTGCGTAGGCTCCGCATGGATGCAGCAGGCAGGGCTGGAGACAGCTTCCCGCCTCCCATCTCTTGGGCCTTCCTGTCCTCGTGTCTGCAGCCCATAGAGCCAGGCCCTTGCCGTCAGGCCACATCCCAGCCCTTGCTAAGTAAGTACGCCATGAGATGAACCTCGAGAGCAGAAACATTCCAATTGCAGAACTCACGCTGGGGCCACAGGAGTCTGGGAGGTGCGGCATTTGTACAAGGCTGGACAAAGATTGATGGGAGGAACAGAGAGCCTGGAGATAAAATCAAACATGAGTGGTCAATTGGTTTTTAATGAGAGTTCCAAAACAGTTCAATGTGGAAAAAGAATACTGCCTCAACAATGGGGCCAGAACAATTAAATAAAAGTTGGAGAATAAACTTCCATGTTTACATCACCGCATACACAAAAATCAATTCAAAGCAGATCAAAAAGCTGATACTAGCCAGGTGTGATGGTGCACACCTGTAATCTCAGCACTAGGGAGGCTGAGACAGGAGGATTGCTGTGAGTTCAAGGCCAACCTGGGCTACAAGGCCAGGCTGAACTATATGGTGAGACCCTGTCTCAAAAAGGAAAAAATAAGTTCATACTATAATATTTTGGAAGAAAACATAGGAATAAATCTTCATTATGCTGTGTTAGGTAGTAGTTTCTTATATAGAACAGAAAACCTATAAGCAACAAAAGAAAAAACTAAAATTGACTTGA